CCCTTGTATATATGATAATTGTGCTGAGAAAGAAATCAGAGAAACATAGCCACAAAGAACATAAAATATCTTGGGATAATGCTAAACAAGCAAGTAAAAGGTAAAAGACCTGTACAGTAAGAACTTTGGGTCTTTTTTTTTTTTTTTTTTTTGGTTTTTCGAGACAGGGTTTCTCTGTGGCTTTGGAGGCTGTTCTGGAACTAGCTCTTGTAGACCAAGTTGGTCTCAAACTCACAGAGATTCACCTGGCTCTGCCTCCCAAGTGCTGAGATTAAAGATGTGCGCCACCACCATCCGGCTGAACTTTGAGACTTTAAAGAAAAATTTAAAGAAGGTACCAGAAAATGGAAAGATCTCACATGCTCTTGGATAGTAAAAATGGCTATCTTGCCAAAAGCAATCTACAATGCAATCCCCACCAAGATCCCACAACAATTGCCCCTATTTTCCAGATGGTGTAATAATGTTTGGTATTAAAGTAAATATCAGAGGATCTTCAAATTCTATCACCAAGAAGCAAATTCAGAAAGGTTGCAGGGTAACAAAATTGAGACATAAAACCAGTTGTATTTTCACTCACTGACAACAAATAAATGAAAACAGAAATCTGAAATTTGATACCATTTATATTTGTTCCAGATAAAAAGCAAGTACTTAAAATGTGCAATATCTGTGTCATAAAGCTTATACATGTTGATGGAAGATATCAAGACCCAAAACCCTATGAAAATGTGTCACATTTACAATTTAGAAGAACTGATATAGTGAAGGTGTAAATCCACTTTTAAATTTGTCGTCAGAAAATCAAGACCAAAACTTGGCTTAGTTTATAAAATTGTAGTGGCATATGTCATGATTACAGATTTACAAAAGTAATCTTGTAGATTTTTTTAGAAATAAGGAAAATAATTAAAGAACATAAATTTGAAACAATCCAACAATAAATTTTATATGCATGTAAGCAAGAAAACCAAAAACAGACAAATTGACTACATAAAGCAAGAAAGCCATAACAGAGGAAACCAATGATCAACAGAATGGGAGAACACGTCTGCAAAGCATCTACCAGGTAATGTGATTAACAGCTAGCAACAAGCTACAACTACAACTTAACAACAGAGTTCAAATAATGCTTTTTAAAACAAATAACTGATTCTAAAACTGGATGACTTTTGTAGACATGTCTTCTAAGATGGTGTAAAATAAACATATGAAAACATGGGCATTCAGCATCACTAGTCATCTGAGAAATGCAACCAAAACCACAATGAGACACCACCTCACAAAACACCCCAAAATAGGAGGTGTCTACAAGGGTATGCTAACTATAACATGTGTACACTGTTGACGGGGTGATAAATACTGAAATAACTGGATAAGACATCACGGAGGCTCCTTGAGGTATGCAAAATAGAGCTACCATACGATCCATGCATCCTGCCCGTGAATACAACCCGAGAAGAGTGGAAACGGAACCTTGAAGAGATATTCAGTTCCCATGTCCACAGAAGCACTATGCACTGTAGCCATGAACTGGAAGCCACACAAGTGCCATGAATGAACCAACAGAGAAAAACAACATGATACATTCATACAGTGTCACTCAGCCTTCAAATGCAAGGAAATTTTGCCATGTGCTATAACACAATAAACCTTGGGAATACCATGTTGAGATAAAGAGTTACAAAAGACAAACACTGTATGACTCTACCCATGAGGCATCTAACACATTTCATAGAAACAGAAAGTGGAATGTTGGCTACTTGTGGCTAGGATCAAAGAGAAAGGAAGGTGAGCTGCTGATACCGCATAGAATTTCATACTTAAAGAGGAAAGAATTCTATAGGTCTGTCTCACAACAATGCAAATACACTAAGCATTCTAGGGTATATACAAAAAGTTAAGGTGGTAGATTTTATGTTATATATTCTTATCATATTAAAAATTCATTAAAAAACAAGTAGTATAAAATAGTGACTTCAAAAAAAGATGTACTCCTGATGTACATACAAGGTATTTGAAATCACCCAAGTAATTACATCAATAACAGCTTTTTCATACAATTCTATGAGAAAATACTACATGGTAATATTACCTGATTGGTAAGGATACTTTCCCAGACCCATAGCAAAGGGTTGAAACTTATCTTACATAGTATGTTTCTGCATGTGTGTGCTATGTGCATGATAGTATATAGATAGATGGATAGATAGATAGATAGGTACTAGACACAATAAGAAATCAACAATGACAACTGATAATAAAATAGAACAACCTAACAATTCAATCTGTAGAGATTACATAGATGAGCCTACATGTGCTTCACTGTACTGCAAGTCATGGTACCTCTGCCCTTGACTTTTTTATTCAGAGTTTTCACCTTGTAAATTAGGAAAATTATTTTGATACTTCTTTTGCATCACTAGCTGCGTACTTTGGAGCCACACTACTCAGAACTGTGTGCAATTTAAAAATTGAAAGAACTTTCAAAAGCATTCTATTTAATATTTTTGAACCATGGTTGGATATTTGTGAACGAAATCATGGAAGATGATATCATAGACAAGCAGTCTTTGGACACTAATATTTGCTTGTCTTTGTACCTCTTTAGGTCTATTTTTCACATTATCAAAATGGATAAAATAACAGCTTTCAATGATAGGGTTCTGGATGTTATAAATGTGATGTCACTCAAGATTATTTCTTGAATTATTTCTTTGATGTGACCAAACCTAAAACTAAATGAAAATGCTCACAGATTGCTCATGAATATTAAACCAACAGGAAAGGGGTTAGTTTCAATCTTACTCCTTCCCAGGACTAACCCATAGCCATTAGTTAGCTGAAGACTGTGTTCTGCTTTTCTAGTTATCATTCCAAATTTTACACATGGCCATATATTTTATCTGATGAGTCCTTTGAAAAGGTAGATTTTTCAATTATGACAAAATCACACATTCAGATCATTCCAGGAAATGCAGGAACTCAAACCCATAGTTGCTTTTCTTACCAGTATTCCACATTTAAAATACAGTAGTGTGCTGTAGAATATTAGTTTAAGATGTGTTACATTAGTTTATGCTGTGGAATATTGGTTTAATGAGGCAAAGATGTGTTGCATTCTTTTATGTTGCATTTGTTTAGCTCTGTAAAGCTGTATTGCCTTAAATGTCTAAAACACCTGACTGATCTAATAAAGAGGTGAATAGCCAATACCTAGTTACAGGAGAGAGAAAGAGACAGGGATGCCAGGCAAAGAGAATGAATAAGAAAAAAGTGGAGGAATGAGAGAAGGAGAAGGCAAGGAGGATGCCAGGGGCCAGCCACACAGCCACAGAACCAGCCACCAAGTAAGAAGGGAAGAAATGTATAAAAGGTATATACATTAGAGAAAGGTAAAAGCCAGAGACAAAAGGTAGATGGGATAATTTAAGAAAATCTGGCTAGAAATAAACCAAGCTAAGACCAGGATTCATTAGTAAGAACAAGTCTCCATGTATTTATTTGGAAGGACAGTGGTGGGCCCCCAAAGAAATTTTGTGTGTGTATGTGGGGGGAGGGGACTATGCCAATGAAAACAAATTCTAAATGCAATTCAAGTAGGACTACACTTATAAAAGATAGATGGTCATACCTCTAATGAGAGTGCCTAAACATGTCCACAAGCCAACCATGAAATGACTTACACCCATGGAATGACCTACAGTCATCGAATGGTCTTGAAGATTCTTCCTGGATTCCTGCTTCTTTGCCTTCTAAATCTATAAATGTCCAACTTACTTTAAAAGATGGCTTCACTGCCCAAACACTAACGGAGGAGGGAGAAACTTTTAAGATAAAAATAAACTTAAAAAGAAGTCAGGCTATTTTCATCTTGTCGAATTAGCTGTGGTATCAGTTCACACTTCACAAACCAGTGGGTGAGGGAGCTAGAAATGTTCAAAAATAACCTTTTGTCAAATATAACGTTCCATTTCACATGGCTAGGCAGAGGGGCAAAAATAACACAGGTTTGAAAGCTCAGGTATCATGGCAATTTAGAAATAGCGGCCATTCTGAACAGTTGGGCATATCAACAATATCATTGATTTCAGGAGGGAGAAAGCGTTCCCAAAGATTGTTGGGCCATCCTAAAGAAAGACTCAGAGAGCTCTTGCCCACTGAATTATAAAACCTAAAAAAAAGCATCAACTAACCAAGTGCTTTCAAGTAAAAGATGTGGACAAGGGAGATAATTAACTTATCACGCACGCCCCAAAGCTCAAATGGGCCCATTGCCTTAGTTTGGTAACCAACAGTATACACTATGGATAGTCATGTGGTTAAATGTCAAATGGGAAATAAAAGCTAAAGGGACATTAACTTTTTTAAGTTTTCTACTTTTCACTCCAGGGAGGCAGACTGTTTGCTAAGCCCACTTTACTTTGGATAAATAATGCTTGAGATAAACAGAAATGGATTTACAAGCTTCTAAGGACGTGAGGAAACTATAATAGGATAATAAGCTCCAACTAAGCATGAGACAAATTCAGCTTAAAATGCTCAGGTCCTTGAAAGCCCAGCTTCCATCAGGAATCGCCTCCTGGGACCTGAAAGAGGCGTCAAGTTACTTGGTGGTTTACAGCGCAACGCTTTCATTTCCGTTGCTTCAAGACTGACTCATTAGAAAGAGCTCCAGCTCCTAATTGTGTCCTCAAGTACAGTCATTTCCCTTGCCTCCCTTTCCACTAGCACCCAGAGACCTAAGTGCGGCGCCGGTCGCAGGACCGAAGCAAAACGGCTGGAAGTGGATCCCAGGGGAAACCCCACTAATAACTTTGGGAGTAAGTCAGGAGCCCAGGCAAAGCATCCTTGCAACGCTGGGCTCCCACCTTACTCTTCATAGAGAGGGGACTTTGCGACACATAGGGGAAATGGAGGCACAATCTCCTCCGCAAGGGATTTTTCCCCTCTGGTTAAAAAAAAATGAGGTGGAAGGTGACAGGAACAATGCTATGTACCTCCTGGACGCCACTTTTCTCCAAGACGGTCTCTGGCAAACGTACGCTGGGGGCTGTGTAGTCTCCAAAGTCCATCAAACGAGCCCAGCATACACCGTGAACGCTCTACTGGGGGCTTCCACTAAGAACTGGGGTGTGCATAGTCTCCAAAGTCCATCAAACGAGCCCAGCATACACCGTGCACGCTCTACTGGGGGCTTCCGCTAGGAACTGGAGTGTGCAGGGGTCCTAGATCCTCTGAATTATCATCTGAGAGAGCTCCAATCTCTACCCAGCATCAGCAGAGAACCATAGCTAAAGACCTGGGGGTACGACACAGGAGAGCAGAAGCTGAAGTTTGAAGGAGACTCATTTGGGACATGGTTTCTGCTGGAGGAAAAGCTGCGGAGACGAAGGCCGGGACCGGGAAGCCAGCCCTGGGAGCAGAAGGCTCTCTGCCACACGTGCCTCTTCTCTGACCAGACACTCCTCCGTACTCTCACCAAGCCTATGTCCTGACATCACTTCCATCTCCCTTCTTCTCTAGTCCTCAATACCCACCTTTGTCTCAGCTCTCCGGATCTAGTTCATTGTTCTAATGAAAAGTGGAGTTGCCTGAAACAGTGCGATCTGAGGAGCCGCCGACATTTAACAATATACAAATATCCCATACCCCATATGTAACGTCCTAAATGGAACACTAAATTTAGTAGACATTCAAAACTTGTTGAAATAGTCTAAGGTGAAAAGTTTATACCCTTTCCCCCAAAGACGCTAGCCCACAGAATTAATCTTCAAAATAAAAGGGTTTATGCATCAAGATGTTCATCACAGTGTCATGATTATTATCAATAATATACTCACAATGAGGAATGATTAGGAAATTCTAGAATGTCTACCTCATGGAAAGTTATGCAGGCATTTAAATGTTTAGTACTCACTTATAATTTGGTGAAAACTACAGTTTAAGAATTAAAGTAAAAAGAAATCAGTAATAATTAATACAGCATGATTAAAACCACACATGAATAACACCATCAATGGCTGTTTTACTTGGTAAGAGTACGCTATATATATATATATATTTTTTTTTTTGGTTTTTCGAGACAGGGTTTCTCTGTATTGTTTTCGAGGCTGTCGGTCCAGCCTGGCCTCGAACTCACAGAGATCCGCCTGCCTCTGCCTCCCGAGTGCTGGGATTAAAGGTGTGCGCCACCAACGCCCGGCTGTATTTTTATATTTTGCAATTTGTACATATTGTACAATGGCTACAAATTTAAAGGGTGACTCTTTAGAGGGGAAATAATTTATTTTCATAGGATGCCTTTTCTGCATTTAGCTGATAATAATTCTTTTAGTGTCAAAAAAGATTCCATTTTTTTCTTCAAGGGTATTGAAGAAAAGGAGATGGTGAAAAGGCAGAAGAAAAACTTGCTCGGGTTAAACATATCTCTACTAGTTCTCTGGGGTTACCACATCAGAAACAGATCTCGTGCCTGACGCTCAAAGTTCCTCATAGCCCAGAGCCCAGCACATCAGCTGACCCCATTTCTCTGCCTATGGAAATCAGTTCAAGTCTCAGAGAGTCACTGAAGTCACTTCTGTGAATGAAGACATCCCCAATCTTCTGACCACCAGCTTCTAATGGATCCCTATTCTCTTCAGGTATTGCTATAGCTCCGAAAGTTACATCGTCTGCTGGTATTGAGCCATCCTACGTCATTCTGGTTATTTCTGGCAAGTAAATACCTCTCAGCTAGACTTGGAGTTCCTTGCAGTCAGAAATTTAGATGCTTTTCAGTAGTTATTGGTCAAATACATACAGAGGCAGAGAGGAAGTAGAGTTCTACAGCCAGGCTGTTATTATATATTCGTGCCCTCAGTGATATTATCTAAAGGAAACATGTTTTAAAATGCTGCCTGTGACATTACTACTGGGACATAAACTTTCCATTCTCTGCTTTTAGAGCAGTAACCGTCTATTTCTGCTTATTCATTCATATCGATTCTGCGTTTCCTCTTGGGATCAAACAGATTGGATTGCAATATGCCTCACCGAGATTTAGAATATAAATAACAAATGAAATGGCCTTCTACAAATCAATTTAAGACCACATGCAGGACCTTGTTTCTCCTTCAGATTCATCTGAACAATAAATGTAAATCTGTATCTCCATGCGGTGTCCTCACTTAGGCAGGGGGCTTTAATCTATCAATATCCACATTAACAACAACAAAAAGAAGAACTCTCCAAAGCAAATGGTCAAGTGCTTTTGAAGTGATGGACTAAATGGCTATGCTCTCATACGCCATCAAAAATTCTGCCAGGATTTAGAAATAAACACCATCTGTGCATTAGCAACCTGACACCCGAGACATCAAAAAAAGAGTTGCATATCTTAAGAGAAAATCCATAAATCACAAATGAAAGCAAGTCAAATGACCCACCAGAGGAGACAAAAAGACCTAGTGTCCATTAGTATTGCAGAAGGAGCATACAAGGTCAATGTAATTGTTGAGTCTGAAGGGCAGGGCATCAATTAGAAAATCCATTTCCCACTGTTCGCAACTCCATCTTACTACAGCACATACATGTTTTTTTAATAAGTAAAACAGTACTCAAGAGTAAGTGCCTGGGTCATCTTGGACCTTCTCTATAGTTTAGCTCCTTAACCAATAAAATATCACTTGCCATGCCAAGCCACAGAGTTGAGTCTGGGTTTATCTGTCACCCCACTGTGCATGATTCAGTGTCATACCCCCTACACTAGACTTCCTTTGAATGTTACCCAAATATTAAATGATGATTTTCAGATGTCTTACTGTGATGCTAATTGATTCTCTAAGACTTGAGCATCCAGCATCTATCACCATCAAAAACCGTGTTGGGCATCTCTGGTCAGGACGGAGCTCTCCCATGAACTGCTGTTGTCCAAATATACCTTTATACTATATTCTAAGGAAATAGATGTTTTCTCACACGATCACTCCAATTTGTGTGCAGGGAAATGCGCAGAAAGTTTACAGGTTGCTGTTGCTAGTGTTTGACATGACTCCTAAGAAAATTAATGCTATACTTCACACCTAACAGTGCGTACTTGAACCCAATACCGACTGGTAGAGTAGATGGCCCATGGATTTTGGAATGACTGAGACCAGGATTCCAATTCCCATTCTGTGACCTTGGGATTGTAATTTAAGATCTGTGTTCCTCGCTTTCCACAACTGGCTCTGAGTTGGTGTGATGATGACTTAACTCACTCACACACACACACACACACACACACACACACACACACATACACACATACACACACACTCCTAAAATATAAAGGTATTCATAACTTCTATACATTTTTTTCTTTTTATGTGAATCGGTCAAACCCGTGCTGAGTGCAAGACAAATTCTACAGGAAATTTTCACAGTTGGGGTGGAGGGATGTTTTGGTATCAGATACAGAGGTTGTGTGTGTGGTGGAATGAGACGCACAGAAAAGGAAATGTTTGGAAAAGACATCCATCTCACTGACACACTTTCAAGAAAGCCCAACACGCTTTGCTCGGGAAGGTTGACACTGGGTGTGGGGACAGAGGGTCGTGACAAATCACCCCAGTGGGGACTAGGAGCACTGGCCCCTTCACCCTGCCAGAGCGGGGCTAGAAACTAAGGTGGGAGCCCACATGACCCGGTCCAGTCCCCTCCCCCTTCTGCCCCAATCTCTGGGCGCCAAAGGTGCTGAATCACGAGCCGGGCAGCAGCCGCCCTCCTCACAGCTTCCACCCGGGCTGGTCTCCAGGACAGGGACTGGAAAGAATGGGCGCCCCACCTGGGTGTGGAGGGGCGGGGGCAAGGGCAGGTACTCACGGCTTCGGCACCTCGCCAGGTGGCTCCAGTGGCTGGTTCCTTGGTGGCCCACACTCCCTGCCCGCGGCTGGCGGCTCCCCGTCGGCCACGCGCCGGTGGCCCTGGGATCCCCTCAGCTCGCCCACCGCCCAGGGCAGCCACGGCTCAGAGCTCAGAAGCTCGACCCGACCAGGAGCAGCTGGAGCAGCTGTCGTGCCCAAGGGGTGGCGGCTACCAACGGGCCAGACCATTCGCCCGCTGCGCCCAGGGGTGAGCGTCATGCGAGGAGGCAGGAGCACCAGGACCCCGCGAGGGCCGGTGATGGGCGGGAGGGGCCGAGAAGGAGGAGGGACCGCCCGCCCACTGAGTTTCCGGAAAGCTGGGTACCACCCAGACCAGCGACTTCTCCAGGTGTGCCAAAGAATGAACAGGGCTTTTCGGGGCACCCCTCACCCCGCCTTATCCTTGGTCCCGCTCAGGGAGCTTTCAGAACGCTGCTAACAGAGAGGACCTAGCAACGCGCGCGAGCTCCAGGGTGGCATCCCCTCCTAAAGGGATGCGAAGGACTCTGGCCTGACACCTATCTGGGCCACCTCCTTCTTCACCTTGCAGCCTGGTCCACCAAGTCCCCGTCCACTGTCAGTTTATCACAAACAGAGGGGTACCTTAGATCTCGGGAAAGTGCTCTTCTGGTCTTTTATCTAAGCACCCTTGCTTAGCTAAGAATAAGAGGGTACCAAAAGCCAACTTGAAAGTTAGACAGTAAGATCAAGTGAGCACCCTCCCTGCAGGTGGTTGTATATCTGAGGAGATTAGGGAGGGTAGCCCACTAACAAGCAAGTTGAGAAATGCAGACTGATGGTACGGAGTCTTTGAACAGACCAATGCAAGATCCCAGAAGAAATTCAAGAATAGTTGCAGTTTCTTGCTCATGATTTTAAAGGTTACTGCCTTAGTACCCGGGAAATAATTGTGACCTCGCATGAAATAAACATCACGGGACTGAGAAAAGTTCATAAACATGAAATTCCCTTGACCTTCATGGTCCCTGCCCATGCCCCAGTCAGACTCACACATGTTCCCTGAAGACGATGGTTAAGACCAGACAACTGTAAAGCTCTCTCCATCTGGCACTTACCTATAAAGTGTGACTACGGTGGAGAGCTTAGTGTACCCCAAATACAATGAAATTTCACAACTTAAAGCTATTACTCCTGGATTAAAGTGTTGTGCTCTTGAATAAACCAACATCAACTGAGCATTTATGACGAACATTACAATGAAGGCATTTTCAATTCTAGACTTCATTTCCTGCCCTACACCTCCTATTGAGATAAATGGAAGCTCCCTTGGTTATTAAATGGGACAGACTGGACACAAGTCCACCTGGCTGGCCTAATGTTTAGATTCATGAGTGGCAAAGCAGACACATCTGGATTCTGGGGAAAGACACACTCTAGGCCTTATTATCCTAGTTAT